TTTTGGGCACATTTCTAATTCTGTCCTGGGTTAGCTTCTATGCTGACATTTTTGCAACTTCTTGTTGTATCCTAAAGCATTTTAATTAATGAAAATTTTCAGAGTTATTGATCTCAAAAAAAAAGTTATGTCCACATTCCCAGTTCCAAAAGACACAAGTTTAACCCCAAGGCTCAAAAGTGTATCTTCCCTGGTTATGCCTCCACATAGAAAGGGTACTGTTGTTTTGATCCCATTAGTGACACCCGGTTTGTTTCCCATGGATGTCACCTTTGCAGAGTCGGTTTCTTTTTATGGCCATCCTTTGAGGGGGAGAGATCTCTCAAGTTGTTTTCTTTATCCCTCCCTTTGCCAACTCCAATTGAGTCTTGTGTTGAGCCCTCCACAGTTACCCCCATTCCCATGAAGGGATCCTCTCCTTTGAGGTCTTCCACTCCTGATCCTCCCCCTCCTCCTAGTAGTCCTCCAATTGTTTCCACTCATCCTATTCTCTAGAGGTGGTACCAGTGGCAAAGGCTAAGGCTAACACAAGTTGATCCCACACCTCTAGTTGAGACTCAATTGCTCCTGATTACTAAAGAGAGGACATGTCCATCACCTCCTCCACCAACACCCACGTTTCCAAACCTTGACCTGCCTATTTCTTTGAGAAAAGGTAAGAGGAAATGTATTTCCAAACACCTTTCCTACAGCTTATTGTCCCCATCCTACTATGCCTTTCTAGCCTCCATTTCCTCTCAATCCATCCCAAAGTTTGTTTCAGAAGCCTTAGAAACACCAGATTTGAAGGATGCTATGAGTACTAAAATAGAAGCCCTTCATAAAAATGGTACTTGGGATATTGTTGACTTGCCAGCTGGGAAGGAACCTGTTGGGTGCAAATGGGTTTTCACTATCAAGTATCATGCAGATGGGTCAATTGAGAGGTATAAGGCCCGGCTTGTTGCTGAGGGATATACCCAAGTATATGGGATAGATTACACTGAGACATTTTCTCCAGTTGCTAAGATGACTTCGATGAGAGTTCTTTTATCCTTAGTTGTGAGCTATGATTGGCTTCTATATCAATTTGATGTTAAGAATGCATTCCTGAATGGTGATCTCTAAAGTGGTATATATGTCCCTTCTTCCTGGTATATATGGCAAAGAAATGCAAGGTAAGGTGTGTAGATTGAAGAAATCACTTTATGGCCTGAAACAATCTCCACGCACTTGGTTTGACAGGTTTAGGGCTGCTCTTGTTTAGTTCGGCTACACTCAAACTCCATCAGATCATACCCCCTTTATTAAGAGAAAAGGCACTCAGGTGACATTCTTTATAGTTTATGTAGATGATATTGTGGTTGCTGGTAGTGATACAAAAGAAGTTGGTGCTCTCAAGAAGTTTGTCAGTTCTAAATTTGAAATTAAAGATTCAGGGCATTGAAGTTGCTAGGTCCAAGGAAGGCATTTTTATTTCTCAACGGAAGTATGTGCTAGACACCTAGACCTTCTTACTGAGACTGGAAAACTTAGTGTTAAACCTGCCTCTACCCCTATTGATGTGAATTATAAACTCTCAACCAATAATGGAGAACTTTTAGCTAACAGGGGAGTGTTTCAGAGATTACTAGGGAAACTTCTTTATCTATGTATGACTCATCCAGACATTTCATATGTTATGAGTGTTATCAACCAGTTCATGCATGCTCCCAGAGACACACATATGGTTGTTGCAGAAAAGGTGTTATGCTACCTTAAGGGAACCCCCGAAAAGGATATATTATTTGCTAAACATGGACACATGAAGGTAGAAGCATATACAGATGCTGATTGAGCAAGAAATGTGGATGACAAGAGATCCACATCAAGATATTGTGCTATGGTAGCCAAAAATATTGTTTCCTAGAGAAGCAAAAAGCAATCAATGGTTGCTAGATCTTCAACTAAGGCAAAGTATAGAGCTATGGCCCATGGTGTTTCTAAGTTGTTATGGCTTAGATCTCTCCTTAATGAAATGGGTGTTTCATGTGACAAGCCACTGACGTTGTATTGTGATAACCAAGCTGCTATTAACATTGCTCACAACCTAGTTCAGCATGATACAACCTATTGTTAAAACTTCTTTTCTTCTTCTCTCTTTCCCTCTTTTCTTCTTTTCTTGCATTATTTGAATTACTATAGGTGTAATTTTCAACCAAATCCAGTCTACACACAAAGTTAAAACACAGAACACATCTATAGAAACAAAACCAAGAAGAAAAATAAATAGTTAAGACAAAGTAGAGCTTAAAAAACACAAAACACATGCATAGAAACAAAAGGAAAAATTTAGGTTCCATTTGGAAGTATGTAGAGTGCAAAACTTTGTATTTTGTATTATTTTATATCTATTTGTATTTGTACGTACTCCTTCCAAACTGAGCCTTAAAACAAACATAGAAATACAAACAAAAATAAGGCAGAAAATAGAACAAACAAGAGCTGGGAGAGGATCCAACCAATACCCAAAGCCAAAGCATGACACATGTATGGAAGGTGGAAATAAAGCAAGAAACCCAGAGCCATAAAAGATCCCACTTAAATACCCTCTTAACCAGAGGAAATAGACAAAATAAAAGAACTTCTGACAATGCCCCATATCTTACTACCAGAACACAAACAATGCAGGGATGTTTCAACAAATGATATAATAAGAAAATAGAAGCAAGTGGCATAAATGGAAATCCATAAAGAAATTATCAAGATGGATAGGAAACCTCCAGGGCCAAATAAATTGAAGCTGAACTTTGATGGCAGCTCCTTTGGGAACCAGGGAGGACAGGAATAGGGGGAGTTTTCAAAAATCATCATGGAGAAATTGTGGCTTTATTCTCAGGACCAATTGGGTATGGAGACTCAGTTCAGGCAGAGATAATGGCACTCTTGCAAGGTTTGATATTAGCAGTGCAGTTAGAAGCTAGGGAGTTGGAAGTGGAAGGGGATTCACTATTGGTCATCTCCTGGGCTGAGCAAGTAAACTCAGCACCATGGAAGTATAGATTTGCATTCAGGGAGATTGATTTTCTGGCTAAGAGTTTTAACTCTACGTTTTGGTGGACTAAAAGGACAGCAAATGGACTGGCAGACACTCTAGCAAAACAGGGAGTTAATATGCCTTCTCTATTTTGAGCAAAGCTATAGTTGGGTGTGTTAAAAGTTGGAAAATAAAGGGGTCCAAACCAGTGTTTTAAAAGGCGTGGGAGGCGTACGCCTGGAGGTGTGCCTCCAGGCGAGGCACTCCCAAAACGCCCTGAGGCGTATGCCAGAGGCGCTGACACCTCTAAGGCGTACGCCTCAGGTGCAAGAGGCGTTCATGAGGTGTGCTAGAGGCGTACGCCTCATGCACATCTGATATAAAAAGACAAAAAAAAAGAAAAAAAAAAGAAAAAGGAAAGGAAAGGAAAAGAAAGGACAGGGAAAGAAAAAGAAAGAGAAGAAAAAAAGAGAAAAGGAAAGATAAGGAAAGGGAAGGGAAGGGAAGAAAAGATTTTTATTCTTCTTAATATAAAAGATTTTTATTAAAAATAAAGAAAAAATGAGATCCCCCTTTCCTCTTCATCCTCCTCCTAACCCCCCTCCTCTTAAGGAGGCTTACACCTCTTGCGTTCTGAACTATGCCTCACACCTCTAGGTAGTAGAACGCCTCCGCGTTTTAAAACATTGTTTCCAAGACCCACCATATTATCTCTCTAGGAACTTTATCATATGCCTTCTCTAAATCAATGAACACCATATGAAGGTCTTTCTTTTTCTCTTTGAACTTTACTATCAATCGTCTCAAAAGAAATATAGTTTCCATGGTTGACCTCCCTAGCATAAAGCCAAATTGGTTCTTTGATACTTATTTCAAATTGTAACCTTTGTTCAATTATTCTCCCAAATTTTCAGTGACTCATGAGTCTAGTCCCTCAATCATTATTACAACATTGAACGTCACCTTTGTTTTTAAACATAGGCACCATACTACTATTTCTTCAATCATTAGGCACCTTCTTTTCGTTCACTATCTTATTAAATAGCTTCGTTAGCCATAACAAGCCTACCTGTCCCATACCTTTCCACAGTTCTATTGGAATCCCATCAGGTCTTAATACCTTTCCCTTCTTCATCTTATTTAGTTTTACTTCAGTAGGTCTAACTCTACAAAGGTAAATGTTATTTTTAACACTCCTAGTATTGTTAGGTTCTTTTCCATTAGCACCCTCTCCTTGTTCACTTAATAACTTTTCAAAACAGTTTTTCCATCTTTGCTTGATTCCCTCATCTTTTACCAAGACTCTTTGATCTTCGTATTTAATGCACCTAACATGGTTTAAACCTCTGACTTTCCTTTCTCTCATATTTGCTAGTTTATACATTCCTTTTTCCCCCTCTTTAGTGCCTATTTTATGATAAAGCTCATCTACGCCCTACATTTAACTTCATTTACTTTCTTCTTGACTTCCTTTCTTATGGTTTTATATCTTTCCTAGTTTTCTACATTTCTAGCTTTTTGCCATTCTTTGTAACATTATATCAAGATATTCATATAAGGCATTAACACAAACTAGAGTAGGGTCTTTGGGTCCCTTAACTTACCATCTGTCCCATGTTTGGGGCATCTAGACCCACCATCTATGTGTCCTACCCAATAGATAGTTGGTTCAAAAATCAGTATGCATAGAGGATAATGGTTGTCTGATTTAACTGGATTGAACTAGATGGTGGAGAAAGGTCCCTCTTAAACTCAAAAAGAAGTTCTACAAATAAATCCAAATGGTTACTTAAATATTAATTATCCAGTTATGTTGATTTTGTCATGTTAAATATCTTGGCAGGGCTTCATCAAATTTTGTGTCCTAATTCTTAATCACAGACGATGACAAATTATAGGGTCCTGTGTCCCCAAACACAAAAAACACCCTTTAGAGAGAGAAACTAGGGGTTAGAAGCAGTTACGTATTCCAATGTTTGATAATAAAGAAATATATGATACTCACGTGTGGCTTCAAATATGTCCCCTGAAGATATATATACTTATACAATGTCCTAAAAAATTCCTTACAGTCTTCTACTTTCCCTGCACAAAGAAAAAAAATTACAGCATCATCCATGAACAAGTTTAAAAAAATAATCAGTTGAGAAGACTTGATAACACAGAAGATGTCACTGCCCCAGTGACAAGTTTAAAAAATTACCAATACTAATACAAATTTACCATTTTTCTCTTTCCCATGTACCATTTGAGATCTTGGCACAACTTGAAAAACTTCACTGAGATTTCTTGGGGGAAGGACCCAAAGGAGTAAAAGAATTGCATTTGGTGGCAGGGACAAGGCTTGCCTCCCAAAGACAGAGGAGGAATTGAACTGAGACCTTTGCTATGAATGTTACCCTGTTGGGCAAGTGGATGAGTGGATCTTGCAGTTTGGTGAGGAGAAAGAGGCCTTATGGAGGAAGCTAATCCAAGGCAAGTATGGTGAGTTGTTGGACGGGATTACAAATCCTGTCTCCCAATCTTATGACACGAGTGTTGGAAAGGTATTATAAAGAATCTGTCTCTTTTCCCAGCGGTGTTCCCCCAAGATGGGAAATGGGGAAATGTCAGATTTTGGAAAGACACCTGGTGTGGTTCCTCGCCATTAGCAGTCTCCTTCCCACACACTTTTCAAGCGGATAGTGACAAAGATGCCCTGGTGCAGAATTGTTTTGATGTCACTGGTGGTCAAGTGACTTGTATAAACTCTGTGCCTCCAAACCTTGGTGAGCATGACAGAAGATGGTGGCAAGGGAATAAGAACAGAGCATTCTCAGTGAAATCCTTTTCTCTTCTCCTTTCAGCCAATGATGTGGCAGAAGTCCCCTGGAAATAGATATGGAAATTGGGTGTTCCATTAAAGGTGGTGTTTTTTGTATGGGGAGCTATTTTAAACAGGACAAACTAAAGATAAGTATATAACCTTATGGCAAGAGGTATGTTCTTGATGAATCAATGCTCTTTTTGTGAGGGTGGGTGGGAATCAATCAGCCATCACCTGTATCACTGTCCCCAATCATCTGCAGTATGGACCCATTTCATTCAGAATTTTGGAAAATTTTGGGTTTCGCTAGGAGACATTGCATGCCTGTTTTCTGCCTGGCCTGAAGCTGGACTTAGCAAAAGAGGTCAATTACTGTGGTTAGATGCCCTTTAGCAACCTACTGGGTGCTTGGGGGAGAAAGGAACAACTGGATCTTTAGAGGCAAGGGTTATCAGCTTGAAGCAGTGATTGGTAGAGCAAAGAGACTCCTTTTCCAATGGGTCTCCACTAGAAGCAAGTTCCAGGGCAGTTCTTTTCAGTCCATGAGTGATCAGTGGGGGCAAATGATGGGATCTGATTCTCTTCGTATAGCTCTTTTTGATGCTTTGTAAATGCTGTGAATAGATCGTAATGTGTGGTTCCTTTTTCTCAATGAAGCATTTTGTATCTTTTGGGATTTTCCCTTATAGTAACATAATACTTACCTTTCAAAAATAATAATAATAACAATAATAATAACAACAACATTTTACAGATTTTTGCAATACAATTACCTTTCCTTTGCTCAAAATAACAACATTGCTTCCCTGATTTTCTATTTGTTGGAGAACATTCCGGCATTCCTCTCCTCTAATATGGTTCACAAAACTACTACTTTGGTGTACTTCCACATAATCTTGCAGATATTGTCTGGTATTGGTACATTAGGCATGTAACATAGTTCAGAGATATTGATCTTCAAATAGAAAACCACCCAATAGATTTTCTCCTTGTTAGAGAATATCCCTGTATCCCTTTCCTCTAATACAGTTCACAAGACTGTCGCTTTGGTGTACCTCAACATAATCTTCCAGATCTTGAGTAATATTGGTACACTAGGCTTGTAATATAGCTCAAACATATTGATAATCCAATCAAAAACCCTCCTAGCAGAAGTTCCTTGCTTTTGGGGGTGTAGGACCTACCTAGATTGTTTATTTACCAGAAACAACAAGGGATAGAAAGGAGATGTTAACATCTTATAAATGAAGCACAAGAAAAAATACCTCCAGGACCACAGACCCAAACCCAACAGCCCACCCATTGCAATCTAACAGCAATCCCTCTAAATAAGCTAAAAGATAAAGAACACCTTGTGTCTATTTAGATCATCCATTGTTCAGAATCGATCAGCCACAAGATTTTTCAGCATGGCCATCCATTTTTGCAGGCAGCAACACAATCTTTTTACCTATGAAAAAGAAACAATGCAAAAAATTTTTGGAGTATGGTTCCCTTTGTAATTATTTGGGATATTTGACTATTTGGAGGGAGAAAAATAGAAAGATTTTAATGGAATTTTCAAATTAATAGAAGGATCATTGTCTCTTGATGTCTGAGTGAATGAGTTCATAACTTCACATCTAAATTTGAAGGCATGAAATGTTTAAAACATAGTCTATACAAGACAGCAACATCCATGAATGATGGAATTGCAATTAAAATGCAACTTCGTAAGCCCATGAAATTGCTTGAGTCATTCTTGCCCAGCAGACCAGATACCACTCAATCCTATTGATAACAACCTCTATGGTGGAAGCCTTTGAGTCAAAAGATCTAACTGTTAAGCTCTTTCCAGGTGGCCTAGCAGAGAGTGAGTGGTGCTATACGTTCCAAAGGATGTTACCCCTGAGGCTCAAACACAACCCTCCAGGCCGAGAACAGCTCACTCAAGTCCTCCAATAAAACCCACTGTCTCCTAAAGGCTAAAACCCACTACCCCGACTTTACCCTTAGCCATACATACCTGTGATCAGGCCACAATATAATATTTTTTCATCATTCAGGCCATACCAGAAGAAATCACATTCCAGCTTTTCAAGAGTGGTAGCAGCAGATGGTGAGAGAAAAGAGGAAAATAATAAACAGGAAGAGTGGAGAGAGTACTTTAGTCACTGTTAGTGTTAAAGGCTTGCTTAGGCTAAAAGATCTTAATGAGCTTATCAGGGGCAATTTTTGGAGGATCTGAATATACATTTTGAGGGATCAACTTCTTGTTTATTTTTGGGTCTGCTTCCTTCAGTGGCTTCACAAGCCTGGTGTTTTGTATTTAAAATCTTTTTTTTCCATTATTAATCCAAGAAAAACATTTAATCTGTGAAGAAAATAGTTTTCTGAACTACAAGCTAATTACAGTTGTCATTTACTAGAATATTAAATTACTTAGAATGCCACATAAAGAATGAAATAATGAATACAAGGTCATCTCAAAATAATGATAAGCAATTAGGTTTGAGTAAATTAATCATTTTCAAAACTTATAACTCAAGAATCCAATGGTTGGTATTGCAAGTTTTTCCCCTCTAATATGAGTTCCTGCAAACCATAAAATAGACCAAATCCACATTCTACAAACAGGCCAACTTTAATATTTACACATTCATTGTGATGTAGGTCTATGCATCAGGGAGAAGAGCGGTTATTGATCTAGTTCTTTGTGTACCCATTAACTTTATATAGCATTAAGAAAAAAAAAACTAAAAGAAAACGTTTGCTCCCTTCTTCATTATAGTTTCTATTGCCAAACAACAGAAACCAAGACCAGTAACTTCATTCATCTTTAGATTGAAATTATGAACCTTTAGTGTGACAATGGTATATATAAGTGAAAAAAAGAAAAAAAAAAGTGAAAATAAAAATTGATTTACCTTCATTGAGCAACCGATAGAGGGTGACAGCATCTCCACCCGCGCAAAAAGCCCTGCCATTTCCCTTCACAAATTCAAAATGGTTGCTGAGTCTTCAAATGGAAGCATTACAACCAAAGCACTCAAAACTGAAATGGCACAAGAAACTGAAAAGAGAACGATGAAGCGAAGGAGATACAAGAAAAGTAAAGAAAATACCAATTTCTGGAAGGTTAAAAGAAAACAAGGACGATGACTGACCTTCATGATGACAAAGCCAATATCAGGATTTTCCTCCCAGGATTCATATAGTTTTGTCAACCGAGCTGCCTGGAAAACAACTTGGTTTTCAAAATTCCCTATATGGGTAATAAGACAAACACTAAAACAACCAAAAATCCACAAAAAAAAAAAACAAAACAAGAAACAGACAGAACACCAATTTAAGTAGTACAAGCATTGCATGAAGAACATCTTCCTTATTCCATAAAAACACTAACCGAACAGAAACCATAATGAAAACCCACTGAAGAAATGGAAGAGAGAATGAAAAAAAAAAAGCCAAACTAATAATACCATTGAAGTATTGAGAGCATTGAGAACAGAGGGTCTATTAAGAACCGCAGCTCGTGCATTGGCCTTTCCTTCTACTAAGACCTGAAAGAATTAGGAAGTCACATTACAAAACAGACATCCAAAAACGAAAAAGGATGGGGTTTGAGAAGATGACCTCATTTTGGGAATCATCATATAGGGCGTAGTTGGGTTGAGCAGAGAAGCTTCGACAGGGAGAGATAGTACGCAGTCTGTCAATAGAACGCCTCGCCTGTAGCAAAGCCTTGAAACTGTGCATCTTCCAATCCTCCTCAGATGCTTGCTTTCGTTCTCTCCTCAGCCCCGAGCGAACAGTGAAGTAACAGAGTCGGGTCTCACACTGAGACTTTGGCAACTTCTCCCCTCAACTCAACTCAATCAAGGGTTTCGTTGAAATCCTCCTTAACAAATTGTTGTGACTTGTTTGTAAGGCCCGCTCTTCTTTCTTCAACTCGAGTGTTTTCGAGTTTCGACTTCTATAGCCTTTTGGCCGAACCGGGTCATATGTGTTGACGATCTGACAATTTCACACATGAAGAGTAACCCAAGTAACTACCCAACCAATACGACCAAAAGGGAAACCGAATCGGGTTAATTGGGCTTCATCTCATCTCTAGACCACCCGAACTGTTTTTTCCGGCTGTATCCTATTCGATATCCAAATTCCAAAATATCAGACTCTAATCAATGGACTCATCAAGCTCAAAATGAAATAAAAATAAGAGGGTAACTTACAACGACCCTCTTGTAATACGGAGTCACTAACAAATAACACATACCCTGAACTTTTATTTGCCACAAAATCCCTGAACTTTTACTTTGCAACAAATACCTCTTGACCATGATGTGTTAAATTATCAAAATGCCCATTTAAACTTTTTTTTATTTCTATTTTCTTGCTTCTTGCCCTTTTTCTCTTAAACCCTAATTGACTAAAAATACTTCCATTTTCTCCAAATGAAACCAAATAAAAAACAATAATCAATTAATTGGCATGGAAAAAGTTTCTTTTAATTCTTGATTCCTACCTCCATGTTAAAATTTTGCACTCATTAATCAAAAATCAAATGAAACCATAAATTTATATCTATTATAAAGAAACATCTACCATTTCATTTGAATACTGAATCCATCTAGAAATCTGCAAGGATCTATTTAGATCAACTAAGAGGACTTCAATGTTATATTTAGAAAATCAATTGAATCGTAAATCGTTCAAATAAATAAGAATAGGGTAGTTTAGGGATTTAAAATTTTTTAAATAACTAAATGAGAATCTTTTTCAAAGTTAACTAACGTAACTCATGGAATAGGGGTGAGCATGAGTCGGTTCAGTTTGTTTCCATGATAGAACTTAGAACCTGTGCAGCTACACATGTAGGGGTTGGTTCTAGGTTTTTGGAACCATAGCTACTTGCATAAAGAGCCCACCAATGGGTCTTTGTAAAGAGCCAGCCTCTACCCGGTAACTAATTTGTGTAAGGTTGGTCCAAGGCTGGTTTGAGGTCAATTCAGTTATGGGTAAAACTTACCCATTTGCTCACCCCTATCACGGAGGGGGTATTTTGATGCAAATGAAAGTTTAGGGGATATTTATAAACATTAATAAACTCCATAATAAACATTAATATAAATTCACAATAATAATGAAAATTTAGACAATACATAAGCCCAAAATATAGTTCTTGGGATGGATTCCGTTTGGCTTTGGCATAAAGACTCCTTTTACCTTTTTTTTGCTTAATAAAGCCCATGCATCGCATGGGTTATGTCTTGACATTAATAGTATATAATACCAACACATGAAGTTAATCAAAACAAAATATTACTAAGATAAATTAGGAAATTTAAAATAAGTATTAATAAATAATACTAAAACAAGCTAACAAGTTTTAGTAAGTATATATACATAATATTTCATTGGATGTTTTAAATTAGCCATTTAATTTAAAATTATTGTTTATATGGTACACCTATATTTAACTTCCATTTGAAATAATGAAAATGAATAAAATCTAATAAAAATTAGTAAAAACCAAAACAAATTTATCTAAAAAGAAAACAATAAAAATAAATTCAATTTAGAATAATAAAAATTAAGAACTATTTATCTAACCATAATGAAAAGTGAAAACTAATAAACATTAACAAAAAATTAGGGTCTATTTGGTTTGTAGACAGAATCAAGATCAAAATTGAAATCCATCTGAATCGGAACTACCAATTGGAGTGGCCTTTTCCTCGTGCCTGTTTGGTTCAAATGGGAATAAAAATAAAATAAAAAAAACAGCTAGAATGGATTCTCATTCCCAAGGGAGGGGGATGGAACGACCATTTCCTCAAATGGGAGAATGCCATTCCACCAAGCGGTTGGACCATTCTGATTCCAATTTTGATTTCAAACCCATATTCCCACAAACCAAACAGATCCTAAATAACATTTCAGTTAGAATCAATTTCGCTTTGCTCAACTGAAAATGCCATAAGGGTCCTTTGTCTTGAATTTTGTTTAACAAAGCTTGTGCATAGCACAAGTCCCTACAATAACAACAACAATAATAATAATTTTATAAATGTTACCATTTACATTACTTATTATACACATTTAAATACTAGATTGAATAAAAATGATCAAATCACTTAAGTGAATGATCAAGTGACGCCATGGTTTTTGTATTCAAATCTTCACATTCTCAACATATTTTGAGATTTATTTCAAGACAAATTCGGTTCCAAGGCCGATTCTTTGGATCAAGTCAAATAGGGCAAAACCCTAGACCCTAGAACTAGTTTGGGTGAGGGACAATTCCAAGAATTTGGAAGTAAACCTTACCCAATAACTGATTGAAAGGAGTGGTTCAAAACCAATTTAAGGTTGAATCCATTCGATTCCAGATAGAATCTACTAATTTGCTCACCCCTAATAGTAGGTATTTATTTTAAGCTTTCTTCTCTATTGCATTATAAAGTGACAATTGAGAAAAGTTATTAAATTTGTGTCAATATCTAAGGCAACCATTTCATTGGTCATGTAAGCAAATCAAGTGGCTTACTATAATTTATATTGCATTTCATTTTGTAATTCTGTAAATGAGGATCTATCTTTGTTTTGGACATTTATCACAAGTTTAGAATTCCTCAGTAGATGTCAGTTGCTACAGGTTGTATATATGTTATTTCTTGTGAATTACATTTTATAAAATCTGGTATGGGTTGACTAATACTCAACAAATCATCTTCCATACATCTTAAATGTAAGAAAAACATAAACCTTCACCATTTTATAAGAATTTAGTGGAAGTCATTCAATCTTTTGTTTACAAAATACATTTAATGTCAAGATACATTATATTCTGCTTCCAGATAACCAGAAGGTAATGCAGAAGCATTTTGGTTCAGAGATATTTATAAGATTTATAATATCACAAGCATAGCAACGACTAGTTATCAGCTTGATCTTTTGGGTCAGTCAGCAGTAATTTCCTCATCTTCATACAAATACCACAATGCCTTGCTTCGGAAAGGTACGCGTCTAAGGCACTAAAAGTCCCATTGGTCCCTGGAGAGTGCGTTCCAAAATAAAGGGGAAATACCACCATCTCCGACCTCGCATTCTGTGCACCCGTGGGTGCATTGGACGAGTGGACGAGTGGACTCGCGAATGAGAGACAAACACGTGTTAACCACGAATTAACGGAAGTTTTCTCTATTATTAATAATTTGGCTGATTGAATCGGCTATTGTTATTCTTCTCCACCGAATTCAAACATTCATGGCAACTCAGTGCACACCGGCGTCGTGAATGCATAAGCCACCTGCAGCGGGAAAAAATCCACCATCCCCTAGCTTTCATCAAATGACAAGAACTCCGATGAGAAGAAAGGAGGGGAAAAAGAAAAGAGAGAGAGAGAGAGATGGAATGCACATGTTTAGTAGGAAGACGATCAGGGAGAACAAAGACGAGACAAATACAAACAGGAAGATGATCAAAACCCACTTCGCTGCTTGAATGAACTGAATCATCAAATAAACCTCAAACTGAGACAAATGCGAGCTTAGGGAGAGAGAAAGAGAGCATCTGACCACCAGCCTTCATCATGGAAGGAACAACGAAGCGAACGCAGAACTAAGAGAGGAGACCAGAGAAGACTTTCTTCATCAACAAAGCAAAATGGAGGCAATGGAGAAGCCGCCATGCGAAAACGAAAAAGCTTGCTGGTTAATGAATGAAGTGGGGAAGAAACATTGGAGACACCGAGAAGGCTGGTCAGAGACATTGAAGCCTTCTAGGGCTTGAATGCATTTCTTCTAGAGCTTGAATGCGTGCGAAATACATTCTCGTTCTTCATCGCAGGCATGCATTGCAGAGAATTCTGGTGTTCTTGGAGACATTGAAGCTCATTGCAGAGGATTCTGGCGTTCTAGGGCTTGAATTCGTAGTTTAAACTCAAAGATTTCTTAGAGGAGCGCTTCCCGCTCCGAATTCCAGCGCAGTTCTTCACAAATCCATCGTTGCTCTTCTCTAGAACATCTTATTTCTTCTCTGTCCCAATCTGACAAATTTGAATACGATGAAGAAGCGAAAGCTGGAAACCCCTTGAGGCTGAGTGAGAACTTGCGGGCTTGAAATGGGTGAATTTGAGCTTTGGAGGGTTTCAAAGCCTGTGAGATAGGATGAGAGGTAGCTGAAGAGGGTGGAGTCAGATAGGAACGGAGGACGCCATAGAAGGCCGAATGAATTCCAGAGAGGAAAGGACTTGAAATGGGGTGAATTTTTGCATCCGGTTCGACTGGATACGTCTAGGTAAGGGCCCCAATTAACGTTTAGATCTCCCAGCCCCATCGACGTGTCTTTATCTGATTGGCAGGTTCACGTGTCCAGTGCACCCACGGGTGCACAGAACGCGGACTCACCATCTCCCACCCCCCAACTCTGGGCGTAGGGTGCATGATGTCTTGAAATGCTGATTCAAAGTCCTAATGTCTCTCATAGTGCTTTTTTTTAGAAGGCCCCTTTGGGAAAATTCATTCATCAACAAATTCCTTACATCTCTTGTACTATAGTATTGAAGAGGAAATCAGGTACTTGGGACCAAGTTTTAACTCTTGTACAAGTAATAGCAAATTTAGCCACTTTATGTGCAACTCTTCTAGAAATGTGATAAACCGAATACCCAATCAAAATGCGAGGGCATCATCGCTCCCAATCAAAATGTGCAACTCTTCTACAAATGTGCAACTCTTCTACAAATGTGCAACTCTTCTACAATTTAGCCAATCATTAAAAGTGAGGGCATCATCGCTCCCAATCAAAATGCGAGAAATACCCACCTCTAAAGCCAGTTTCAAACCCTCCACCAAAGCCAGAGTTTTAATGATCAATGGGCTTTCTTTTTGGAAGGGAGTTACTCTGGCAAACAGAAGCTCTCCAACACTGTTCACCAAAAGAAATGGT